TGTCTAGTGCGCTTTGCAGCATTTCTTCTATGAGTCAACATAATAATTTTAGGAGGAAAGGTCTCAAAATTTAAGTTTTACTTTAGAAGAATTTTTCTACCACCACAGAATTTTTCTATGGAGAGTCAACTACACTGACTGCAATTCCACATACAATTAAAGTATGAGTATGAAACAATGATGCTATCTTATATTTGGATGTTTGCTTTAGAAAAGAAAATTATTACAACAGAGGCTGGCTGATATCAATGCAGATCACCAATAAAAAATTCAATCACCAATAGACTTGTTAGCAATTCTTTTCTAAATTCTTACTAATGCATGAGCCAAAAAGGGCACAGCCTGTCATTCAGCTTTGATTGAACTGTGGGACCTAGCAACAAGCAATATGAAAAAAAAACCAACCAAAAACCCCCAAAACCCCCCAAACCCAAAACTTTGCTCAGATTTGTAAATAATAACTAACATCGGGCCCCGCACCACCAATTTCTTAGCTCCAAGGAAACACAAATCCAGTGCTCTCAAGAATTAATATATCATAGAAGCAATAGGATATTTTGATATATAGCATGTTTAAGAGCATTCTACCTGCTGAAGGCAATCATTTTTTTCCCTTGGTGTTTTCTTGGTGTATTCAATTCACAGATGTTTTTAAGTTATGTATGAACAAAAAAATTAAATAAATCTATCCCCCACCCCCCCCAAAAAAAGGCTAAAAAAATGCAAACCAAACCACACCCATGTGCTTAAACTGTGTTCAAAGCACAGGTTTTGCTGGTTTAGAAAATGTTGAGTGAACAAGCTCTCCTATACAGTTGAATAGGAATTCTGAGTAAACTTCTCAGAAATGTCAGTAAAGTAGTCTCACAGGGCAAACTTTTAAAGCACTCAGTTTCTACATGTCTGTTTTTCCCTAGCAAAATCTACCATGCTGCACTAAGCACTTAAGCTGCAATCAGACATCTGGGAGCATGTTGCTGAAAATGGGATTATCAATTGCTGGAAAGCTGATCTTGAGCTACAAAAATACTAGGTAATGGGAAATACTGAAAACTGGCTGTGATTTAACTCTCTTTCCTCTTGGGATTAGATGACTGCTTATGGATGACAAAGAAATGCCCGCTTCCACTTCCAATACACATCTCAGGTGTCCCTGAATTACTATGCAGAAACATCTGAACAATTTATGGAGAAATATGTCATCATACTGGAACGTGTCATCATACTGGGATCTCATTCTAGGTGAATTTTGCAGTTTAGATATTAGATGAAACCTAAAATGTATGTGTATGTATGTTCCCATCCTCCCTTGTCCCCACATGTATCCCATGCCATGAACCATTTCTCTGGTGTTCACTGGGTCCTGCTCTGAGCTGCTTCATTTTTCCCATTCTGTAGTAAAAGACCTCTCTCTGGCAGGACACTGTAAGTCAAGTCTTGAACAGACCTACATTCTCACATTTTTTCTATACACTTGCGGTAAGAAAAAAAAAAAACCAACAAAGAAAATCCTTTGAAGAGACAGCACAGTTGGAGCCAGCACGGCTTCTCCAGTGAAGTGGCTTAAGGGCTAAACAATTTATCAGTAATGTTAAATCTGAATTCACTCCTCTTCTTTAGCTTGAAAACATTAAATTCTACCCACCTTAGTTGCTAGAATGGTTGAAGTTCCCCATCAACTCAAAATTGCACCAGTAAAATAGAAAATATGAAGGACTACTCTAACTAGATTACATGATCCTGCATGCTCACAAGTGCAGCAGCCTTTCCACAAAAACCCCTAAACCAAAATGAACTAACCAACCAAACAAAAAGCCACTAAAAAGAAAACAGTTTCTCAATCTGGGTTTAAGTTGCTTGAGTAACTTAGACACTTCTGAAAATTCGACCTGCATTACCAATGGAAAAATGTGACAGAAAAATTATGGTCAATTGTTTCTACACAAAAGTATGCATGTGACCAGATCATAGATTCTGTTTTGATGTTTGTATTAGAAAATAACACTAACAGTCTATACACTTCATATTTGTTTGATGCTCCCTCCTCCCTTTTAAGGAACAAAAGCTTTTGAAATGCCAAACAACTTTAAAAAAATTAATATGGATAAAAATTCTCTCAAGGCTTGTGGGTTGATCTGGGGAACTATCTTTGCTTGGAACTATAACCAAAGAAGTACTCTGACACAGACAAATGCATTGTGTGGAATGGTATTATGATTTTCTGCACAACTGATTTATAAAAGGTTATGCCTGGTGCACATAAACAAAATATATATATTAGAGCTGGCAACGGATTTTGTTCAGCTGAATCAGTATTACCACAAATCTCCTCTTCATCAGTTATTGTTTGCACTGACATCCAGTATGTCATTTGTAAGGACTTCCTGCTTCTAGCTGGCACTAGTGTTTGCCAGATCTGCATTCAAATATCTCTGAATACTGAGGGCCACCCAGCAAACAAATACAGTCCCAGGAAGGGGCTAATCAAAGGAATCTTTCAGGATTGTAATTAAATTCACACACACACACAAATTAATTACCTGTACCATAGTTACTGCTGTACCTCTTTTTTCCATGTGCTTTTCCCAGTGCCTTTTCTGTTAATGCTGGTCTGGGTTGGTCTGCTTCTTCATTCAATATGCAATTATTTTCACCCACTACTTTACACAGGGTTACAAGAACTTACGGAATTTTTAAGCTCTACTAGTCTTAAATCTTGTATGTAATAGCATAGACCAACATGCCAAAATTTCACCAAATGTATCTTTTCATTAAAAATTACATCTGCTGGTGGAATAGGCTTTACTGTTTGACGAAAGAAAAAAATTTCATAAACTACAAATGAAACCTGAAACAACATATGGAGAGGACTATTGTAGGCTGCATCCCCAAGTTTGCAGACCCAAGGCTTAAAGCAGATCTGATTGGGGAAAAAAGGAATTTCTTAATTACAACGAAGAAATATATGGTACAAATATGATTAAATTCATTCACACATATAAATAATGTCCAATTCCATAACTGCTCTGACTCATTGTGCATTCTGGAAGCTAAGAAGAAAAGACAAGGTATTTAATTATATTCCTGACACTATGATTTTGAACCTCCTGATTGCAAAGAACATGGCCTTCCTAACAATCACTATGTTACGACTTATAGCAGAACCATTATATACATGTGAATAATTTTTTTAAAGGTTACACAAATGTGTTAGAATACTTGCATTCTTGGTTCCTGTGATACCAACTTTAAAGAAAGGCAAAACAACATCTATGAAGTAAAAGCCAAGGTGATAGCAGTTTGGCAGAAATCCAAATGTTCCAAATTTGCCAGTGCTGCTAAACAAAGTCAATGATCACTGGCAGAGTCAGACATTCAGAAAAACTTCAATATGAAAACATGGTCAGTGTAAAAACCTAGCACTTACTCTCTTTTTAAACTTTCTCTTTTTAAAATGGCATAGTACTTCACTCTATTTCAATGTAGCAAATACAATTATTTTTTGAAAAGCCTTATGATTCTGCTTTTTGTCTCAGTATGTGTGAAAGAAACATGACCACCACCTAAGCTGGTCTGTCATTTTCATACAGATTTCATATTCACAACACAATAGACAAAGGTACAGATATATACGGATAGAACACTAATCTTAAATGTCTAGGAGACCAGATTATCCTGAATGGTTAACATTTTACATTCCAAATGCAAGGTTAATGTATTAAGGCTATTACAATTCTAGATGTTATAAAACTGGTTTCAGCAGAATGGTCATGAAAATTGAGAATAAAACTGATGTCTTTTCAGACAGGAAGTAGAGGGAAAATTTGCACCCAGATGAGAAACTTCCTATCCAGTCAATGCATCTGTCAGTCAAACTTGTTTCTTCCTAGTTACAGGTCTTTAAAGAGCAGGGGTATAGGTCATTGTCATATTCTAGCAAAATGAGAAAGCAGATCTTCACAGACGAGTCTTAACTTGTCTGCCAGTCTGTGTAATCTGAATTATTTGTTCAAAGATATCCTTTTGTTCATCTGTACTCTCATTCAGCAACAGAAATTCTAATTAAATTACATAATGTAGGAAATGTATGGCCCTCACTGGTGCAATAGTTAGGTTTGTCTGGCAAACAGTGGTAGAACCCATTAACCTGAAAAAACATGGTTAGAATAAAATGTACACATTCTCTCCTCATTCATTTCTCAAGTACACCACAACAACTTGAAGATGCATAGCTTTGGTAACTGGCTGCTTAGCATGGCTCTTCACCAACATTACACTGAACAGTGGAAAGGACTTAAAGATCGTTCAGTGCAAATACATAGAGCTTGTAGGCCTGCATAACATGGGACACTCAGGAAAATTAATTCTAATTAATATGTGCAGTGGATTAGTTAAAAATCAAAATATTCCTTTGTCAATATTTTCACAAGAAATAAAGAAGTGAGTTTAACTTAGTTTAGGTTAATCCACTTCACTTGCAGCCCTGCAAGTATTTAACATTGTTTTAAGTGATCCCCGTAAAGCTCACACTTTTGGTAATTTGATTAAATTTACCTGAATATTTAAGCATAGACAAGATATTAAAAAGAGAAATGGTCCTTAGCTACCACTTCTCTGTAAAATATGAAGGGTGCAACTTATCTAGCTTTGTTTAATCACAGACATCCTCAGTTAATGAATAAAGGCTCTGATGTACTTAGTTGAAATGTGGCTCGTGCATGAATTCTGTTCAGCTGAGGGAGAAAGGTGAGGGAAGTCACCTCCTCTTCCAGAGAAATGACCAAATGAACTATGATCAGGCACATATTAGTGTATCTGCCAAAGAACATATCCATGGGACATCAGAATAAAGTTAAACTGCACAACTTTATGAAATGTTCAATTTTTATATTTACACTATAATTAGTACAAAATTGCCTTTTAAGTTTTCTGTAGCACAATACAGTATTCTACTGGATTTGATACCCTAATATGTCAAAACAACTACTTTGAAGTATGATAAAGGAATCTAGGAAGAGTTATAAAGAATAAGACACCATTTTCAAACTATACATAGTGTTTGCTTTTGCTTCTAAAAAGGTACTTATATCCCCAAAAGGTTTTAAATTTTAAATAAGCAGGGCAGGCAGGGAGAGGACGGGGAGGGGAAGACTAGTTGTTGGTACTAAAGCCTTTACTGTAATAAACTAAAGATATTTACAGTTTATACAAATGCTTGACCTTCAACAAAAATACAAAAACATATCACAAGATGCAAAACCAGGAAACAAGTTCATCTGAGACACCACTGCTCTACACAGGACAGAATGCAACTTGAACTGTAAGGAACAGAAAAGTATTTATCCCCCATAATCAGGCAATGAGAACAACTTGCATGAGGTCACAAACAAAAAAAAAATAAAAGGCTCCAACATTCTTCAGTAGACTCGGCTTTTAAAAACTATGTCAAAAACCTAGGCTACATCTGTCCATCTTGCCTCTGTGCTCCATTTGGTCCACGTAGCAAATATTTAGTTGCTGGATGTTGCCTTCTATTTTGAAAAATCGGAGTAGGTTCATGGCAAGGTCTGGAACCTCAATACTTTTGTTCCTTTTTAAAAGGCAAAACCTTTCTACTTCTACCATTAAGAACAATTTTGGCCCAGTTCAACTTCTAAAAGTTATATCCCCATCATATTTTTCAGTAGATAACTTCATAGACTGTAGCCTTTTTGTCTCCAGAGCCAGTGACTATGTACTTATCATCCACAGAGATGTCACAGCTAAGCACTGACGAAGATTCTTTGGACTAGAAGAAAAATAGAAATATATTACATAATTTAAAAAAAAGTCTGTTACCCTTATCTCAGCATCCCAGTTTGGGTAGAGACATAGGTGAAGATATCTGAGTCCACTCTTGAGACTCGGGGTGTTCTAGTTGTTTTTAAAACCATTCATCATCCTCACCTGAAAGATACTGGCTCCATAAGGTGTTCTCCATGCATTAAGAAGGTTATCTTTCCCAGTACTGACAAACCATTTACCTATAATATAAAACAGAAAGGCTATGAAAAACACATGAAACACACATCTGACACTGTGGGTTTTCAACTCACATCTATGAAATCTTTTATCTAATTACTGCTGTAAAAGTTCCCACCACTAATCAGATACTTTTGCTTACAATCAATGTGGACACTCATGCTTTTGTAGCATGTTAATATATGAGGAAATCCCTAGATTCTTTAAGTTGAAATGTTTTTTTACACACAAATAAAACATCCCAGCAGCTTTTAGATAAATGGAAGGTTGTTTGTAGGTAAGTACCTTTGAATTCATAAAGCAGAGATATTTATTCATAACTTAAGAAACTGAGATAAAATCCCTATGAAGAGCGGCCTGGCCACTTGTGCACCTCAAGGCACATAGCACTGACTCCTCCCCAGCGGTTTGCCGTTATGACACCACTCTGTGCTCTGTTAATTTTTAGCCTGCCTGTGCTGAAGAACATAAAGGCTTCACTTACATTTTTACTTTGGAGACTCTAATCAGTTTGTAGTACATATATTGGAACACGTTGCCCAGAGACATGGTGGATGCTTCATCCCTGGAGACATTCAAAGCCAAGCTGGATGTTGTTCTGAGCAACCTGATCTAGTTGAAGATGTCTCTGTTCATTGCAGGGGGGCTGGACTAGAACATCTTTGAAGATCCCTTTCAACCCAAACTATTCTATGATTATCAAATGAGGTATGACGATGTATTAACTAATCAGTGAAACATGAACTAGAGCCCTGACCTCCAGTTTTGTGTTCAGTGCAACTTACCACAGTAAGCAAACTTGAGTGACAATACACAACTCTCATGAAGGTGCAGTTGATATTTGTCTGGTTTGTTTACATGTAGCACTTCTACATTGCTGCTCTCCATTCCCACAGCTAGCCATTCACCAGTAGGACAATAACCAAGGGAAAATATCTGAAAATTAAATGATATTTACACTTCCTATTTTTTTCTTACAAATACATTTTTTTTCTCTACAGTGATTAAATTGATTGGGAGAGGGAGAGAGAAGAGCCAAATAAATTCACATAGTTCAATAGCAAGACTGCTGTTCAAAATTCAAGTGACTATAAATAATCCTGATCTTACATTAATTTAGAATAAATAGGGAAAAAATAGGGAATCACTTTGTTCTGGAAGCTCAGCATACGAAAGCTCCAAAATATTGTGTTGTGAGCAGCCAAAAGGATGAGAAAGAACAATTTGCCAGCTGCACTGGGCTCAATCTCAGCTTTCATCCTAAATGTTTCCCTCCCACCGCTCCCTCTTCCTTTCGCCACCCTTCCCCACACTGTAGGAAAATCCAGTTATACCTGTGATGTGAAGTCATGCTGTTGTAGCTGTCTCCCTTCTCTCAAGTCCCAGGATCTGACAGTGTTATCCAAACCTCCTGTCCAGAGCTTGGTACCATCATTAGAAATGTCAATACAGCTGGCTCCATCTGTGTGGCCCTGGAATTGCCTGATAAAACAAACCAGATTGAATAATGATTTCCTGCCAGAGCTCAAGGTAAACACTGTTGTGGTGTTAGTTTTGGACTCTCTGTGTCTGCTGATGGGCAAAAATCAACCCCTCCCTCCTTACTAGGCATGAAATACAACAGTATTACAAAAACATTTTCCAGGTGTTAGGAGAAATGAATTGCATCATGGCTAGCTGAACAAAGTCAAGTACTTCCTATCAGGTTTTGAAAGCAAAAAAACCCCAAAACTTGTGAGAACAGTAAAGTACAGTAACTATACTTAAAAGCGTTAAGGACAACTCAGATTAAAACAAGTGCTGAGAGAACAAAACTCCTCCAGTTTCAGAAAACAGCTTCTGTATTTTTCTTTGGCTGCAAGTCAAGATGATAAATAATAAGCAGAGATATTAATAGAAAGGGATCCAGATAGTTAAAGACAAGCATTGCTGAGTCAGCAAAGTTGCATTCTCTGTGGCAGATGACAAACATCTAAAGGTGTAGTTTGTTTTAAAACCTTATCAGTAATTCTTAGCTTTCAGCAACGTGAAGGTCATCTCAAGTCTTCCTTAATCCTTTGGCAAAAGCCTTCCGAGGCTCCTGCATTTTTCATCAGCTATTAGCATTAGGAAGAGTCCTATGCCTCAATGTGAAAGGTGGAAGGCATGGGGGAAAAGACAGCTAGCTTGGGAATGAAGGGTAGGAATTACCAAGAGCTACCACAGAAAGGTCATGCCACACTTTCTGTTTTGTAGCTCTGGTCTCAAAATTCCATGTTATCAATTAGCAAGATCAGCCAGCAAGTGGTGGGAACACCTACAGCAAGCATTTAAAAGGCAAGACAGTCACAGATTGAGTGAGTGCACCTTTACAGAGACCAAGCACGGATAGGGCAAAATGAATATTGTACATAACTAATACACTCTTTGATCAACAGAAAGTAAAATTTGCAGGTACATTAATATAACTTTGAATATAAATTTAGGCTAATTATTGATATACAGGAAATTTAATTGAAACACAGCAGACTAAGCAAATTCTTCACTAATTGCATTTGGAACTTTTAAATTATCATGACTTTTAGTAATTCAGGCTCTCTCTTCTCAAAATATTGTACACTACTACTTTGGTAAGCATAAATCAAAATTTACCTTGTAGAGAACTACACAGCTAGTAGCCAAAAGCCATTTCACACATGGCCCTATATCTTTCTTTCTCTGTCAGACTACTAATGCTGGATACTGACCTGCCAAAAATGTTACTCTTCTACTAATATATTTATTAATCAAAGGTCTAACAAAAGATTTCAAAAGTAACTTACATGGCAATCCATTTATTCTCTTTGCAACCCATTCCAAAACTTTGAGAGATCAAATTCCCCCAAAAAACTCAAATACCTTTTTTCATGAGTGACCTAGTATCAGTCTTTAATGCTTTCCTGAAGAATTGACACTTTCAACTGCTTTTGTAAATTTAATTTTAATACTTATCATCACTAAATATGAACTGAGAATTCTCTTTATTACTTAACAAAGCTTAAGACAAAAGAAAAGAACAAACTTCAAAAAGTTCCCTAACTTACGTTCAATGTACACCAACCACAAACCAGCAGAAACGCTGATTGCTGAAACTCGCAGACAAATCCCAACTAACCAAAACCAACAGGAACTTTCAGCGTGTTATGGACGAACCCTTTAGGTAGGCCCTTATGACTGCAGCATGTTATGGACCAGTCCTTTAGGCAGGCCCTGAAGCGCGTCTTCCAAGACTAGGTTGAGACTACCAAAACTAGTTTCTGCTCAACTCAGGTGACAAACCATAGTCTTTATATAAGAAATACTATTTACTTTGCTGTCATGAACCATTATTCAGGAAGATAAATATTTATGTAGCTGTCTAAAGAGTAACTTCTATTAAAGTTTTCTGTAAACAAGTAACGACTCACCTGACCAACGTCTGATTGTGCAGATCCCACACTGCGATGTTCCCATCACTGCAGCATGAAAAGCACACCTTGGAATCAGGGCTGATAGCCAGAGCGTAGCAGGCAGGGGCTGAGGATGTCAGCTCTGCTTTTATACGAGGAGTTGGTGCTGCCAGGTCCCATATGGATAATGTGCTGGCTTCTCCACCAACTATTAGTGTGCATCCATCAGGCAGCAATTTACAAGAACGGATGTAGTTATCTCTGTTCTGGACAACACAAATCACCTTGGTTATGTTAATCCATACCCTGCCAATAATGACCACTAATATGATTCTGACTGCATCCAAGTTTTAAACAGTATGCAATCTTTTCCCATTACTAGAGTACTGAAGAGGAACCAGCAGATTCTAAAAGGCTTCAGACACCTACTTCTCATCACTAATTAGGACTGCAGCTGCAGAAACAAAACTGCAGACTTCTGTTGCCACAGCCTACTCTGTTTTAAATCTGACAAATGGTGAGTCTACCATCTCATCACACAAAAAGAGGGCCAAAGTAAGCTTGTGTTTCTGCAAGTGCACTCCACCATTGAAAGTCACCAACAACAGAAACAGTAAAGCAAATGACCTTTCATTTGGCATTTAGGCAACTCTATGTGAAAACGTGTTTCAAGTCTTATGCCCTTCAGGTTTTGGAGTTTTCTTTCAAATACTATTTTGCATTCACTGTTGTAAAGTTAAAATATGAAGTAATCCCCTAGTGCTCCTCAATTTATGTCAGTCTTTGTTCAGCATGACTCTTATCATACTTATATCATTAATTTCACATTTGCAATACTATTGCTGACTGAGAGGTACTACAAGGGATTTAGAACTGGAAAACATTTCAACCTTCACTTATTACAAGCTTGACTTCTTAAGTGTATTGGATGTCCATTTCTCCGGAACAGTTGCTGAATTAACCAACAGTTCTTTAGGAAATGGAGGGTTAAGATCTGTAACTCAAAACATACAAAAAGCCACTGCAAGAAGCAGTCAAGAACATTCTTACTACTATTCTCTTTTTTATTCACAACAAAGGGGCAGTAAGCAGCGCAGTGGAAATGTTGGCTTAGTCTTGTCAGCCATTACTGCTCCATAACTAAAATGAAGGCAGCTAGGACTGTGCATCCAGACTCATTACTGCGGCAGAACAGAATACACATTCAACCTTACTTTTACTACTAGACAACTAACACAAGGGTAGCAGTAAATAAAGGGTAAAAGCTAAAAAACCCAAACTAAACCAAAACAAAAACCACACCACATTTAATTTGATCAATATCTATCAGTATCAAATACAGAATTACTTTCATTCAGGATATATATATTACTGTGCTTTGTGACACTAAGTCTTCTCAGTCTTCTTAACATTTCACAAATGTTTACGCTGCTTCTAACATGAGAAGCATTTTTAATTAAGCCATTCATTTTTTTGAATTAGCTTTTCTGCCACCTATACTGATGGACTCAGTCCCTTTTATATCCTGCATATGTGAAAATAACCAACAAAAATGTGTAACTTGTGGATCACCAACAAAAGCATAGAGAGATTTACAGTGACCTTGCTACTCTGTCACATTATTTCATTATGTGGTTGCTATTCTTTTACAAAAAAAATAGAAGTTGTCACTTCTGGTGTGTGTGAAACACCTAGGAAGGTTCTCTGCATCCCTGCATAAGCCTGGCTACCTTTCTAGCATGACTAGAAGGGGAAAAAAGAATTAAAAAAAATAATCAGGTATACTCTCTCCTCAGAAATGTTATCTAATCTGTTACACGACACCTTGTGATGATATTTATCCCTAAACAAACCAGCACTCTTCTCTGTAATTTCACCTGTTATGTGTTAAAAAAAGACAGCTAAATATATAAATCAGGAAACATAACTGCCTGCTGTTTCCTTGTAATATGAACAGAATCCAGACAAGGACAGCTATTTCCTTATTGAGTCTCCAAGGAGAAGGTACCCTTGTGCACAAGTTCCTGTTGACCTACCAGGCAGTCCAGCTGGGAGACAGGGCTCTTGTTGCCAGGCTGGCTGATGTCCCAGACTTTGACGCACCCTTTCCCACCTGTATATACGTGTCTCGTGGGGTTGCTGATGGTAACTGCACACACAACTTCCCCATGGTTCAGAGTGTTGATCTGACGAGCATGGCGAGGGATTCCTGGACCAATGAGGGCATCAGGAGGGAAAGGAACTGGCTGCATCTGACCGTCTGCAGTAACGTGAAAGGAGTAGGCTCTTTCGGGGAAGGGAGAGAAGAGACAAGGCAAAACCAAAAATATAATAATCAGCCAGTTACAGTGTCAACAGCGCAAGAAAACCAGTATTTTTTATTTGATCTGTCAATCTTTTTCTCATGATAATCAGAGCTACAGCGCCAAGTCATGCGTGCACATGAAACCTCAGAGGGAGACAAGGATTCACAATAGGTAGTTTCAGCTTGCCTCACTTGAAGCATTCTTGCAGTAGGGAAACACATTAAATTCTACCCTTAACTCTGTGCACTAAGGTCATACTGCTATCTGTCCACCTGGATAATCAAAAGATCTTTCAGGCCCTGGTTTCTAGCCAGCAATTCCAAGTCTCAGCCCACAAGTCCTGCAGCAACAATCCCCCACCAGGTGCTACTACTCTTCCAGCGTTCTTCCACTAGGCTTACACCTGTTGCCTTGCAGTACCACCAGCCAAAACTCAATTTTTGCTCCATTTCTGCACCTCATCTTTAACACCAGCAGTAGCTATGGTCACATGCCTCTCTTTCCAGGTGGTACCTGGTGCTTTAAACAGAAAATAGAAACATGCAGAGTGGTTGTGAGCACATTTCATCAGGAAGCTGATACCATCTTCCCATAATTATGTTTTTTTGAGTAAGTGTTTTGGAAAAGCTGTAAGGCTCAGTTTCCCAGGTAGTTTTGGCACTTCTGTAACACCTTTTATCTGTATTCAGTGCACAATTTCAAGTATATGAAACTGAGGTTTGAGAAGTGAATCCCAGCACTGAATGAAAACTCTTCTTTGGGGAAAGCACACAAAATTATTACTTCATGTTCATGGTAATGCTGATAGTCAGCTCTACTCAAAGACTAGGGCACAAATAGCAGGTAATAAAAGTTTCAAGTGCCAAGGGGGATTCTTTGTTTGCTTTAAATAATAATGAAAATACTACTGTAAAAGGCTGCTTTTTGTTACACTGGTGATCTCCTTTTTCACTTCTTCTGTTTTAAACACATCCATAGCTCATGTTTTTGATGCTGTCGTTACATTAACATAATTCTTCCAAAGGCCAAAATGGATAAAAAACGTGGAGATATGGGTATCCTTTCTTTTTCTTCTCCCCACTGATAAGCTATGGTCTTTGTAGCGGTAACTTTATTTTTCTAATACATTCCTGTGTTCAGAATTGCCCTTTCTTTTCTAAATATATCTTCTTCCTCAGAAATCTTCAGTCACTGCATCTCAAGTATTAGTATTGCATCCCCCTACTAAGGACCAAACAATAGATAATTCAATTTAATCTTCTGTTCTGAGCACTGAGCTAGTATTTTCTAAGTATTTTATTGCATGTTTCCAAGTACTGCGCAGTTTGAATGGAAGAACAAGGAAGATGCCTGGATCTGTAACAGACATCACAAAGCAACTGAATATGCCCAGCAGCAGAGCAGAAGATAATTCTTCTTAAAAACAGAGAGAAATGGAGAGCCGAAAGAACTACAGTTCTTTCAAACAGATGGTAACAGTGGAAACAGCCCCACGCAATATCACAGTTTTCTCAGAAGGGTAAAAACTGGTTAACAATAACTGCTATTAAACAAAAGAAGTTAATAAGCCTGCTCAAAGAATACACAGAAATGTAGGATAAGTGAGTGCAAAAGATGACAAATCATTTTGGTCATGGAAATGTTAAGAATGGGAAATACAAGATAAGAAAGGAAGTGCAAAGTTCACTGCTTTACATGTAGACAAGATTCACAGCGTATCAATTGTATTTCTTCCCACAGGACCCTTTATCTTTTCTGGTATGAAGAATTACATAATGATAAAGGCTTAACTAGAAATTTGTTTAATTTCCATGAAAAGGAGACAGGACTGTCCCAATGTAGTTATTCACTAAACATGATGAGCAAGAAAGCAGGAGAGGAGTGGCAACAAGACTACTCAAGGCTCAAAAACTGCTCAGGTTCAGGTACAGAATCCATCTGAAGTCATAGCACTTAAGATGCTGAAAAGATGGGCCCCATCTTGGGCTCCAGATCAAAGTCAGTTGCAGGGTATTTGTTAGCAGTAAGAGTACACAGATCTGCACAACTCTGAAGTCTCAGCTTGTCCCTGCCTTTATCATGGACAGTAATACATAATTAAGCAAGTATTCAGCCATTTTTTCCAGCATGAGTAAGATGAATAATCCACTTTACATGTCTGTTTTCTTTTAACGGAAAATTACAACGTAAATGTTCTGTTCAATTCCAAACACCTAAATAATTGGTATTTTGAAATGCTTCTGTGCATACACAAGTTCTTGCTGAGATGGGGTGGGAGGAAGACAATAGGAATATTTTTCAAGTACTTCATGCATACTGTAGAATTACGATGATTCTTCTGCTCTAAAACGCCAGAAAGGGTACTTTTAATCATGCAGAATTTCAACTGCGTGCCCATGTTTAAAGTGAAGTTGTATATATCATAAGAGTAGTTTCTCTTTTTTATCATCCTGAGTAGGCATTTGCTTCCAAGACAAGGACTCAAGATGACTGAGTTTTATGGCTTAACAAACAAACCATCTATAGTTTCTTACAAGCCAAGACAGCTTTTTCTACAGTGAAAGTTATCAGCAATCCACTGTGTAAAGAAATGGCTACACATTGCCAAATTCCTCTGTCCCTCCCAAGAGAAGCATGCAGAACAATAAATGTTCCTATTTGCATGAAGATGTGCGGCATGTCATGCTAACATCACCACGGTTGGCATACTTCTGTGCACTAGTAATCTGTATGTACTAGCTATTACGGTATAACTTCGCATTACACGTACCTTTTATCTTGAAAAAACTTGCATTATTTGCCAGACTGGCACTCCCTGGACAAGGAAAGCTTCTGTCTCCAGAAGAACAAAGTACTGGAAACAGCCTTCCTTTAAAATATTCCTCATTGTGCATTCACTGAACAAATGTGAAGGTCAGGAGAATTGAAATCTTTTTTATTTTTGCTTTGAGCAATTCACTAACAGCATGCTATTTCTTTCCAAAAACACATAGAAAAGTTGGCTTCTAACTAGAAGTTGAAAGAGTTAACATATACCACATGGAATCCTCTTCCTACTAAAATGAGAAATGTGTATTTTCAGCTCTTTCTGTGTTGGTGTGTAACACCTCATGGTTCAATTAAAATCACATTAAAAAAAAAAAATACTGAGAAATACATTTGTTCTCAATGTTACCATTAATTCACAATTTTAGACACCAGGGAAGCAATAATGTGGATATAAATCTTACCAATGAACTTGAAAATCTGTGCTCAGTACACAATTCAACTATGAGAAGGTGTGGTTCACATCAAGGAGAAATCCACAAGAACATTAATTTAGTAGCTATAGAAGACTAAAAGCTAAATAAATACCTTGCTATGCAAAGCAAAAAACATGATCACAGCAACACACCAAGAACTTGTAATCCAGTGCATAGTTAAATGTATCAGAATGACAGAGTGCAAAACCTTGACACCACATGTCCATGTCCAAAACTAGTACCGATTTCCTGCCCCGAACCTAAGACAAAGATAATTATTGATTAGGTCATATCTCAAGACAATCTGGAAGGAAATCCCAAGAAACCACACCAACAAAAATAAAAATCAAACAGAAGAGCTCCTAAACAACAATAATCTACTACTGATGGGAATCAACTTTGAAACCAAGAATATGAAAATTTACTTGATGCACAATCATACAGACAAGTCCTTGCCTGTAAAATTAATTCCTGAACTACAAATAGCTGAAGAGAGAAAAAAACTAACATGAGGTCATATCATACACCAAAATATCAAAGTAAAATGTAAAACCTGAATGCCTTATAGGAAATAATTAAAAAGAAAACAACAACCAAAAAAAAATCCACGCAAAACAGAAAAGCCCACAAAAAAACAACTACACACACACACACAAACCCACAAGAAAAACCAACCCACAACCTGCTAGCTACCACATGCAAAGACTAGATCATTTGTATAATTAAGAAATTGCTGAATACACTTTGACTTTCTAGATTGCTATCCAATCTCCCAAGTACATCTGTACCACTTCTAACAAAGCTAGACTCTGAAAAGAGCAAAACTGAAAGATTAACATTCAGGAACATACAAAGATGATAGAGAAGACTTACATTTAATGAAGTTACAGAACAAGGCAAGAATAAGACAAGCTTTCCAGATAACAGTCCCTTGATAAAAGGCAGATAGACAGGTAGGAGTGGGTATTTAAGAGTTTGCTAATTTTTCTAACAAGCTACTCATTGACAGATCTCAGAAGACACAGAGGTTAAAAAGAACTGAGTGGTAATAAATGTCATCCTTTTGGAAGTATAATAATTTAAGTTTCTCTTGGAAGAAGAGTTGGGTGGAAAAAAAAAAACAAACCATACCAAACCAACCAAACAACAGCCCTAGCATAACCACTGATAAAATGGTGCAGCCATGAGCATATACATATAGCTTGGGATTCAATAGTTCAATTTGAAAATTAACTGTACCACTTGCAAGAGGAGACTAAATCTCCACATCTCATCTCATCAATATGGCACCTTAACTGCACTCTAGGAAAAGGAAAACAATGTAAACGAACCAGGAATACTCCACTAGTTTTTATAATTATATAACCCATGTACTTGGTATAGAAAACATAGTAGATTTGCCTAATGTAGGTAAGAGATACTCAGAGATGTTGCAGGTAACAGACAGCATCTAGATAGCTATAGCAATCAAGACTAAAACAAGATTGTTGTAAAGCTGTTAATGGAATGATAAGATATCAGTTTATGGAAGGTTAGGTTTGTCCCACAATAAAAATAAAAAAGACGTCACTTTAAGATGAAATGAGTGACTCAGGCAAAGTAACACGACCACAAAAAAATATTACAGAACACAGCAGCAAATCAAGTGGAAAGTAGAGAGTATGTAGCAACACTGTAGGTGATCTGCAGAACAGTGTAAATAAACTGCTGAAAATACTAAAGATTAAAAAAAAAACCCAACAAACTGACCACCAAACAAATGAAAAACAATAAAAAACCCCCACAACCCACCCCCACCTATAACTTAGCTATGAAATCACAGGATACAAGGTATAGCAGCACATATGCACAGCTTTTGAGCCTTGAGTAGTGCAACAACTAGAACTTGGCCACAGGAAATTTCTGACTGAATTAAAATATGGTTTCACAGCTTATAATATAAAATATTGACAGGCATTACTAACATAATAAGTAATTGAAAGCTTATAAATATACTTGTTTAAAAGTAAAAACTTACAGCCACTGTGCAATCTCAAAAAATATTTTCTGTAAGTATGCCAAATTTAACTGAAGTCAGCAAGAATGACTCTGACCCTTAATAAAAGAATGTTTTGAGAACAAAGCCTGTTCCTTACTGTACTAAATTTAAATATACCACCATCTGACACATTACACCAACTCACTGACGCCTCACTTCGGGAATCTTGTCAACATACCACCAACTTTTCTTTAAGTAAATCCTTAAAAAAGATTTAACAGGTTTCTCACACTGCCAACAGATAGCCAAGTGTGTTCTAGAAGCACAGTGGGTAACAACGATGAATGGCTTTCCATTCTGAGTCTGCTCTTTTCCTACTGTTATGAAAAAAGAGTAGATGAAAAAACACACTTTTTTTTGCCTGTAGTCTGGAGTACTTTTAAGGACATCTGCATGACTGACATTACAATGTATCACTAACTATTAACAGGAGTTCAAAATGAAGGCAAACAGTGTATAACTTTCACTACAGCATGTCTTGTAACTTAGACAGTATCCTAAAAATAAGTTTCTGACTTTTTTCTGAAACTGCAAAAGGAAAAATTAAACCATGATAGACTGGTAAAGAAGATTGTATGTAACAGGAACACCCACAATAGGAAGTGCAAAGTGTTCAGTGAGTTTCAAAATCATAAGTACCTAGACAAACTACTCTAACTGCAACTTCCTGTTGAAAGAGAAGACAGAACTGAATGCCAAGCATGAAGGGATGAAGAACAGGTTCTTCAGAGCATTGGAAAACCATTTATAATTCTCTCTTTCTCTCCAAGAAAACAAATTAGTCAAATTTGCAGTCTATGCTCTGTTTGTACCTGCAAAGACTAGTTGCCCAAAAATACTTAAAAAATAATTACTTTTTTAACGTGACATGCTCATGAGCCAACCACGCACGTGTAAACTAAATCTCAACAATCTACCAAAGCCAAATTACTGAAAAAATTGATGTATGTTTTTGACATATTGTAACATCAATGAGCCACAGCATCATGCAAGTATTTTATTTAACCACCCCTTCTTCAGTAATAGAAACTTTTCGATAAAAAGAACCTGTTGCAAAAGTTACCTTACATCTATGCAACACCTGCTATACAACTGCTTCATCATTCCTTTTGCTCTCCAGCTGCACACTTACACAAACATTTAAAAAAGCTTTCCCTATTATGCAAGGTGTGCATCCGTTGCTAACGTAGCTGCTTCAGATACCTACTGTGACCAGACAAGGTGCCAGACAAGGAGTCTGTGAGTTTGCACTACACATTCATGATCAGTACAGTACAAAGTTTAGTTTCAATATGTTTTATCTTACATATTTTACTACTGTCTACCAGTTTGCAGTCCCTTAACTTCTCCCAGAAAGAAGGAAATAAAAAAGCATTAAAAGTATACCTTCAACAGCTCTTCCTTCAAAATAAGTATATGCACATCTGTTTTGTGATATGACAACTACCATTTGAGAATTTATATGCTGTACCTCTTGCCAGGAGAAATCTAAAACAACCTCCTGGGAACAACCAGACACTACTTACTTTGGAATTCTTATTCACTGACGCAAGATAACTTTATTCTCTCTAGATATTGCAGACGTTACCAAAATGTTAGAAGTTACTTACGGTTTTCCCCCAGGAATCCCTGCTAGATTTGGAGGAATTCCAGGTACTCTCATATGAGGAGGAGGATCAAACCCAACCTGACAATGAAAAATGAATTAATCTCACACTTGCAATTTCTAATTCAGCAAACCCCTTCTCTTCACTCCCGAGCTACCTGCATTTATCCAAAATGTGTCTTTTACCCACATTATTAGATCAAGTGCATGGCCTTTCGTGGGAGGTGGAACAAGACATTTTCCTTAGGAATGCATCTGCTAGAAGTATTTATAGGCGAACAGAAAACCAGTAATGTGTATCATGCACTCACAACACTGAACATAACACAAATACCCCTGTGCATAGCCACGCTAGTGCTCTGACGTTCTATGACAGGAGTGTGTGCCCATGCAGGCACAGCATGGTGCTGGAAAGCAGCCTCAGACCCCAGCTAGAACCTGCATGGCTCCACACTGCATTGTGTAGCCACATCAGCTAGGAGATCTCCCACAGAGCTTAAATAAACTATGCTCCCTTTACGTACTGCAATGCCACTAAACTTATATCCTGGATAAATACATACATCAAATAATACAAACAGAAATTCTAGACTAAACAGACTTAGTTTTATTTCTTTCTCACCAAAGTTAAAATTCTTACTGCTTTAAGAAGCACATAAGCTATTCGGAATTTCCACATTTTCACATAAAAAGTTTTAAAAAAATAGCCATTTCTGCCCTAATGAGATGATGACAAGCTTAAATCCAATCTTGCAAATTTACAAGTAGGTAAGATTGTCTATGCACAAAGCTGCCACCAAGCTCATGTCTGCAATATGAGGCCCCTAGGTTATTCTGCTTGACAACATCTCTATCTGCTACACTGCATTTACTTGCTACACCCACAACAACAACTATTCTTAACACACCTTATCACAGAGCTCCAAGACATGTACCAACCAACTTCCACAAAAAAATAAAATACAAGGGAAGAAACATAGTTAAGATTCTTCTACATGCTTCAAGATTAATTTGCTGTCTCTACGGAACACAAATCTGGTTCAGCAAGAGAAAAGACAATATCCACAGCAGCAATGAAATACTTCATAACTACCAAAACAACCTTCTCAAAGCATAAAATAATGTTTTTGCCATTTATTCACCAGTCAAAGCACTGATGAAGGTGAAGAAAAAGGGAAACACACATAAATACACCAAGATTCTTTGTTTTCAAGGTGCAAATTTGTTTCTCTAGCCACGTAGCAAAATGAAACACAGTGAAGCTGTCAAGCCTCTGGCACTGCTATAACTTGGGAATTCGACAGTGCTAAATGAAGCATGCAGCTCTTCTCAGAGAAGCACAGTTCACAGAACTGAGATTGCATGCAATGTAAGGCCTACCATAGGAGATCTTCCATAGGCAACCACAGCAGCTGCAGCAGCTGCAGCACTCATCTGGGGTGACATATTGTGCAAACTGGCATAGGCTGCGCCTGGACTGGTTAACTCTCCATTCATGCCAGCATGAGGTACCATTCCAAATGGAGCAGGGTACGGTCCTGGTACTGCCAACGGTGTCCGCAAACCTGCAGCTATGGAATAATGAAATCAAGTAGTTTTATTTATATATTCCTGCATACATGGAAGAAATCAGCCCATCTTTTCCCCTACAGTACCTAGCCTTCCCCTCTTGCATATGCACACTGTCAAGCGCCATAATTTATCAGTACCACCACCTCTTTTCTCTCAGTGTAAATATGATCTATTGAAGTCTGAACTTGCTGATTACTTCTAACATCTCTTCTAGCATTACCTATTTCCATTGCTGTAATATTTCCCTGTTTACATTACTCTCTCCTTTGCCAAATTAAGCAGTAAATCTGACAGACATGGTTTACACAGCTCATGTCTGAAGCAACTGTGCTGTACCAGCCTGAATAGCAAAAGTAAACTTCCCCCCTGCACTTGTCAAGATTTACATTGTCTGAGCCTACTAATATTCACTGCAAAGGACTGGAGAAGAGATTGCATTCAGAATGAGAACCAGAAACTTCTGAAACGTCTTTTTATATTGCATTCAGTCTCTGGATTATTTGCAAAAAAGATAAAGACAAAGTAAACAAAGAAGGATAAGAGACAAAGATATTCAAACTCTCAATAATCCAAACATCTGCTTCTCATGAAGCCCTCTCTTGACATCAAGAGCAAAGCAATATATTTAGTTAACATTTGCACAGAACTACATACATAAAAAAAGATTAATTTTGGAACCATAAAAACACGTGAGGTAATGCATTACCAGCTTGGTTAACCAGAGGGTCCATTGCTGGAGGCTTGCCAAGGCCTGGACGAAGTCCTGGAGTTGCACCAGTGCCTGGGGTTGGCACATCACTTCGAGGAGTCGGTGTGCTGGATTTCAGAACAGGCGTGCTGGCTTTTTCATGCTGGTATCATTAAACAAATTAAATGAGTATTATTTTTAATCCAAGCCATATTATACAATTTATCACAACAGCAGCTGGGATGCTGGGCACCTACTATCTAGTCCCTCAGCCAATTTTCACAAATCCAGGCAATGCTGACAACATTAACTTGTGAGAAAGAAATGCTGACCTTTTTGATTGCTGCCAAAATTAAAATAAGAAAAAAACAAAGTTAGTTTTCCTTCTTCCATTGGCATGGAAAAAAAAATAATGCCTGAACTATTTTTTTTTCAGGAGAATATACTATGCATCACCAAATTATTTTATCTTGAAATCACTAATCTCAACTAACATGGGACATAGCCAATCTACGTACAAAACGAAAATACCATCACAGCTGATAGTATCAAAAATTTGTGACACAAAAGCTACAGAGAATCTCATCAAGTTAATAGTGATACTGCAGGAAACATTTTCAAAGAGTAACAGCTTATTTTGAAGAATTTAATAAAAGCCTGTAGAACTTCTTAGTGTCTATATTCAGACCATTTTAAACCATAAGCTATTGCTCATGAGAAAATAAACAATGCTTAACCATTCACTGGAAGAACAGTAGTCTATTTCAGCTTCAAATGTTTAAAGCCATGTACCTTCTGCCACAAACAGCTGCAAAAGAATGGAGTTAGACCTCACAAGAAAGAACAACATTTATCTGGACAACAGACTGCTACCCACCAGGCTCATTTCTTTGGATTTGAGGGAAGCGGAACTTCCTGAAGAGGCCGTAGATGCCGGACTGCTAGAGGCATCTTTCTTTAACAGGCGGGTTTTATCTATACCGTTTTCACGTGGTGAATGAGTCGGACTTGCCCTTGGGGAAGAAGGATCCTAAAACAATGGGAAGGGAAGAACAACACAGAACCCTGTCACCGGCTGGTAGAGAATCACCACTAAGGAGTCTATGGGAAGAAAACTAGAAAATTTTAGAGGCAAGTTCAAATTATAAGACATTTTGTTATCTCTACAGAAAAAAAGCTGAAATCCCTTCATCAATTTAGAGACATAGTTCATATTGTAAACAATCTGGTTTTATTTTACACTACACGTAATCAAAAACTGTTTCCAAGCATAAAGCTTGCTATGAAAGTATACCTAAGTACAAACTAATGCAAGCACACATGACACATGGTAAAAGCAATAAAGACCAACAGTAATGCAGTAAGTTTATACTGGTTTTATCATGTACATTCCCCACACACTGCTAATGACAACAAACATACCAATAATCTATATAGGCCATACAAACCTTGCTCATCTCTATCTTCAGAAGATTTTTATTTCATAATATCTGTCACTTCTTTCTAACTACCACCTGCAATTGCCTCGCTCCTTTAATCTACAGGAAAAACTGAAATAATCTCTCGGGTGATTATCTTTCTTCCAGAGGCACTCTCTGCACTTACTTTAATCTGAAAAAGCCAGCTCAGTTAAGCTACCATGCCATCAGAGCTCTGCAGGTTCTCCATGCTCCTTTGGCTCAGGAGAATAGCAGCAGGAAGGAAGCAGTCCTCACAAGAGGGCACTAAGTGTACTGGCTGATTACTGAGCAATTTCATTCTAAGTAGGGCTTCTGAAAGGATTACTAAAAATCCTTTGTTTGGTACCTATTTTTCTACTTGGCTGACATCATTTGGGCACTTGGAGCTGCTGAAGACACTTCTTTGTCAGCTTCTCTCTCTGTGCTTTTCACAGAGCAGAACCTCACTGCTACTGTATTCAGGCTCCCTAAGTCTCTTTGTTGTATAAAATAAAAGATGAAAAAAAGGGAAGGCCCATCCCTTCATTTTGATGCAGCTGACAAGTCTCTGCCCTGAAGGAAAAAAGAAGTGATACAACTCCTGGAAAATTTTGTGAACTGACTGACTTCATTCTGACTTCAGCAGACTTCCCTCCAAAAACCAAACATTTCTGGAAAATGTTGTCTTTAACACAGGACATTAAAATAATTGCAATTTTTAAAGGTACAAAAAGGTATTTAATAATACTTCTACTACTAAATACAACATTAGACAATGTCTTCCCTTCTCATTTGAAGATAGTAGTTTGAAAACCAGAGCCCTTCACCTGCATCTCACCACAACTCTCTCCACAACAGAGCAGTTGTGAAGCATCAGAATGCAACTGCCAAGGAAACAGACCTGGACAAAGCAGCAGAAAGAAAAGCTGAGAGGGCAACCAAATAAAGCTCAGAGGAAGACATAGTGACTGCAATACTAGCAAAAAGGAGAAGTTGTGAATATTTTAACATATCCACACAGAGAATTCTTTTTCTTCTAACATCTAAATGCACTTTTCCTTTAACCTTTGGGCAAACGTCAAGACTACAAAAATGAAAAAAGTTACCTCATTGGATACATCTACAACCAAGTTATCGTCACTCTTGTCCCCATCACTGTCCTATTAAAAATAAATAAATATAGTGTTCATTTAAATTAGTACATTAAGAGCCCAGAGAGAAAGACTATGTATCTACTCAGACATTTTTTTGTTTTCCTAAACAAAAAGCAAACAGCCTTTCATTAACTTATTAGTAATAGGGAAAACAATGAAAACAGGAACACAACACCTTATTTCTTCTTCAGTAATAAAACCCAAATAAGGTAGAACTAGTTGAAAGGTGGTGGTCTCACCATCAGTGCAAGATGGTCCAAAACTCCTCCTCATTACCATCATAAACAGTGTTATCACTACTCCTAAAAGAGAAACTCATTCTGTTCATATGCTAATCTTATGTGTTAATCTTATGGAAATTACTACTTGTGCATACCTAAAAAAGAACTCCAACAGATCTCAGAAAACTGGAGCTTTTTGGCATGTGTTTGATGAGTGATCTTCCTCAAAGTGATAGGACAATTTTTCTCCTTTTCCAGAAAGGAAAGTGTTGAAATGAAAAGTTCTGGGGAAGAAAAAGCTTCAGAAATGCCAAGGCATTTCAACATTTCTAACGAAACCAAAATACTTTGACATTCCTAAATGGAAATGATTTATTATGGCTTGTCAAGCTGCATTTCGACTGTTTCACATAAATCTGTGTTCACCTGAGCTGCTCTACTGCCTCACAATAGCTGTTACTCAAGTGCCTCCTGGTCCCTGTCTCCAATACAGGCAGGGATGCCTGAGTAGACATGTTCTATGATATAGTGATTTTCACAGTCGACTGTGGTGGTTCAACCAGAAAGAGAGCCTTGACTCAAAAACAAACAAACAAACAAAGTGAAGGACAAAACTTAAACTTTTCATGTGGACAAGTTGGACATTTCCAACAAAAATTCTTTTAATTAAAAAGTTTCTAGGCAAATAAATCAGACATACAAGACTGATCAAACTGTTCCACATCTCCTGCTTTCAACGTGTCTGGGCTATCCCACTTTAACAGTGGCAGACATAAAACACCAGTTCTTTTTCCTCACTTCAGGCCATAAATGTTTAAAACAAGACACCACCACCACCAAAAAAACAAAAACAAACACACAAACACAACCCCGCACAAAACAAACAAACAAGAAACCCAACATAAATAATGATAATAATAAACACCCAAACAAAACCAAACGAACGAACCCAAAGAAAGAAAGAACAACACCCACCCCAACAGGTAGTGTTTCAACCTTTTCCTTCTGCTTTAGTAGCTCAATATTGCTCCAAGAAATACTGCAAACATACTAGGGACCCAGTAGTGCCACTGAAGACAGAATGGTGGCTCTTTTTGCCACCCAGGAAGCTGCCTAACCAAAGGGTGCAAAAGAAAGAATAGGAAAAATTTACCCCCACTTAATCTGCCACCTCTTGAAAAGTATGAAACACCCAGAAGGCAAGAATAGGTTAGAACACATCTGAGCATGCGGGAGCACAGTGGGTGGGACACTTATTCACCAGAAATACCACTTCCGAGGAGGGCAAAACCAGCTGCCAAGCAATGATTAAATGCACTTCACTGACTGTCATCTTGAGAAAAGAAATTTACTGAGACTACCAAAGGCATGTCCTATAAGTACTATGTAGTATCAGAGTATCTCCTCACTAACAAACCCACAGGCTGAAACTATGCAGGTCCTAAATGGAAATTGAAAGAAGAAGAAAAAAATAATAATTGTGGTTTTGCATCTTATTTTCAGAAGTGACAATTCCTGCAACTTGTTTAACTCCTTTCTCACAAAAGCAGTACTTCTTATCCCTAGAAGGGTCTCATCTAAAATGAGCTGAAAATCAGCAGTTCTGTTTGTAGAATTGGGGAACCTTTAAACATAAAGATCTTCTTCCAGATTACAATAAATCTGGAACCTTCAACTATCCTTGATTTGCTCAATTCTTCATTTGATGCTGCCTTTATCTGTAAAATCCATTTCTAGTAAAGAGCAAACAGAACCACACATTTAAAATATGGATTGAACCAAACTGCTTCTACAGTGCAATAATAACCTTTTCATTTCTTCCCAGCAGAAATCCAAGAAAAACAAACACAGTAAGCTTTTTCTTCCTTTTTTTTTTTTTTTATCAAGCGTAGCTTAATAATGCTTAGTCTTCAAACCTTTAAAATGAAAAATGTCCATAGAATATCAAAACCTCAAAGTTGAGGGAGTAACATGGGGAAGTTTGCCAAACCCCTCTGTAATCAAAACAAGATTAGAAAGTGGTAGAAATGCAACTTGCAAAACTATAACTGTACTATAACACCACAATGTGCAGAAAGGGGAAAGTAATCCCAACTACTGTCAGTAGCTCCAGGGATATTCAATAGCTACTCAGAGATATTCTGGATCCAACTGGAGAGAAATTACCCTACCAAATACAAAGGAAATAAAGTGGCACCTGATTTTCTATTGGGTTTCAGTGACCAGGAAGTAATTAGTGATCGGATCTATATTCAAACCAGACAATTTGCCACATTATTGCTATGTCAAAGAATAGTATCTTCTGATAGATTTAAGTTCTGCTTTTTCTGTACTTTCACACCAGTCCTAGTCTCTAAAGTCTGTTCAAGTATCATCCTGTGATTTGGCTCAGCACTGAAGACTTGGATGTTGAAAGCCTATATGAACCTTTTGAGATTCACATATGCCTGTGTATGTTGTAGAGAAGTGTCTCTTGGAAACCAGCAACAAGCAAGCTACACAAAAATGCAAACTGTGAACTTTTTATATTTCAATTTGCTTTCTGCCGAAACTGCCATATCAGCCAAAAGCAAACTTTAGTAAGATGGTACAGCCTCCTAACATGAAATTTCTAATGGTAACTATTAAGCAACATGGTAATAGCTAGTACCAGACAAAAGTACTAAAATCCATCAAATCAACGAAATCCTTCATTTCAAACAAACCCGCAGCTTTTAGAGTAGTCCAGAAAGGATCTCTTGCTCCAACTCAGAAATGTCCCAGAACACTTGTGAATCCCAAACAGCTTCTCCTGTCTTAGTATTCCCTGTTGAGTATTACTTGACAATAGCACAAACTCTTCTCACAACATGAATAATGGCCTTTCTGACAGATATATTCACATACTACATCAGCCATAGGAAACACATTGCCTCGCTCTTCTCAGCTCTTTTACTCCTCATGCAAGCACAGTATGTGCAAATAAATTAATCATTTCTTTGACACAGATTTGCTTACATAGTGGCTGGAATCCTTATCATCCACCTTTCTCTTTTTGATGTCATTGGTATATTCAGGGCCATTCCTGCGTTTATCTGTGCTTCGCAGACTGTCCGGGACCAAAAGAGAGTTACTCTGTAAAGACAAAACCCAAGGTCAATCAAAAATTCCTTTCAAGATTTCTTCATATATGCTTAAAAACTGGATCTGATAGATGCTTTAGAAATGTGATACCTACAAAGTCTTTCATTCCATTTAATCCAACTCAAAGCCCTCCAGGCAAACATGTACAGCTTCATGCATTCTAAGAACCTTGGCTTTTCATTGTTCAATATATCAAAAGTTTAGTTCACTTGTCAGTCACTATTTAACTAACTAATTCAACTGAATTTATAGTTTAGTAGAAGCAGGCTTGCTGTTTATTCACTAGCAGGTAGCAATCATTTTTTTTATTTTTTTTTATTTAATACTCATATCTCATATAATAAAAGAGACCTTGTAAATATAATCTGATTGATTGCTCGCTTTTAGATCATCATAAATAGATGATGCTTTGGTATGTCTACATCTGCAGGCATGACAATTTGCATTTAACTCTTAAAGTAACAAATATTTACCAAATAAGGTTATGCAGTAATCATTCGTTAGCTGTGGTAAACTCCAATTGGAAACCTTCAATAAATGTATTGCAAACAAAGATCAAATATTTTTATTTCTAGCATAACTTTCACTACTAGTGTGAAATTAAGGCTAAAGTGTTATTTAATCAGATTTGATCTGAATAACTGAGACAAACACACACGAAAGACAAAAGCAAAGACTAATCTTTTTCTCAAACTACATGGACTGCTTTCATTCATGCTAAGTTATGCTAAGTACAAACTGTTGACCCAAAGAGAAAGGCATTTTAGACATTTTTCAGTCACATGACAATTTGACATGCCTGCGATTCCCATCTCCATCTCTGTTCCAGCTAAAGCATTAAAACGTGTTACAATGAGATCTTTTAAGTGCAGGATTAGCATATGCAAGAGGGCAATTTGTTCAGTGATGTGTTAATGCCGTGAACAATACTGAATGAGTTGAGAAAAAAGATCTCCTTTTCCAAAGACCTGGTAAGCCTAGTTTCTAAAAGCCAAGTACATGCTTACGTAAATAAATATATGCTCACACACATATATAAGTAAATATGTATTTACATGCATACGCATATCTCTCAAGAAAAAAAACTAATACATATATTCAGTAAGTGTAAGCCCGCAAAGAAAATACTTAGATCTACCGAAGAGCCAGAGATACTTACTCTTAATATATCATAGCCACACTAACAGCCAGTGAACTGTGCACTGAATGGCTTCCCCTTTAAAACCTGAGGACAACTCGGTAGTTTTGCTCACACATTGTTTAGTCCCAAAGAGAAAGAAAACAAAACAGGGTACATAAGGCAACCTGAATCCTCTTTTTCCTACTTCAGAAGCTGCACTTTAAAGCCAACTTTAAGCTCTTTTATTCATGACTATTCAAGCTAAACAAATGCCAAGGGGCTTACATAACGCATATAGGAGAGTCTAATGAAATTCAGTATAAAGAAGCTCAAAATAATGTCTTCACTGCAATGTTTTGCAGCTAAAAGGTGGGCTTGTTGGATCACTGAACTAATTGCCTTGACAAATATAGTCTGAATTTAACCCCTTATCTCCTCCCAGATGCACACAAACTCAGAATGAAGAACATTAAAACACATCTTCAACGTTTTAATATAGTAATGATATTAACATTTAATACTTTTACATTTTTAATATATCATGTTTGTAGCAGTAGAATCATTCTAAGAAGCAAGCTGTCAATTCAAACTTGACCACAGATTTGAGTACTGTAAATGTCTTTTCTTAAAAAAAGGAGAAAAGTCTTAAAGCGATACTTTCCTTAAGAAAAATCATTAAAAAAAGAAAACTATTTTACTACCAAAGACACTAGCATAAAACAAGGAAGACAAATGTAGTAAAGCAAATAAACTCAATTTCTCATTTTAAATTGTCAAAATTTATGTGTAACAGAAAGGTGTCAAAGGGGCAACAGCTGGGAAAAATTTAGCAACCCTGCTATTTGAAGTTACCACACAGCATCAAACATGTGTAACTATAATGGCTGATCTTTTTCCTGGTTTAATGTAAAGTCTACCTAGGCAATGCTGACAACATTCTGTACAGTTTGTCTTGCAGAATTTCAACACTGTGAAACGTATCTAGGAACTCCCAGGTACATCTAGGTCCCATTGCGTCCTAAATTCCAAAGATTATTCAGTTAGATTTTTCCTCATAAGACTAGTGGTTTAGTTATTATATAAACATAAAATTACAACACTAATCTACAGTCCTTATAAGCCAGTTCTGCAAAACACCTCCCCTACGGTCATATTTACTGCCTTTCTCTGATTTACCACCTTCATTTAAAGGCACTGTTCCCTGGAATCAGAGCAACCAAGCCAGAAGCTGTTGTCGACCAGCTTATTTTACAATAGTTACACCATCAGTTCCAAATAAGATCATGCTGCTACTCTGGCAAAATTTACCTGTAAACTTAATAATTAAAAAGTTACTGTTTTGTTCTCTTAGGAGTACAAAGAAGTTCTAACAATTGTGACTATAATCAGGTAAAGTATAACTTTTGATGAAAAAACAGCCGTTCCTCATTTTGACTCTGGTAGTTTGTATTTGCTGTATGTTCACTATCAAGCACAGGGCCACATAGGAGACAGCAGTAAGAGCTTCACAATGATAGAGTTCTCCTTTTCTTCTCTATAGAAAAAAACAACAACAAAAAAAAAAAAATCTTCTTCTTAGTTCTTCTATCAGGCCTACTAATTTCTGACTTAATTTTCAAAAGTGGGTCAAGTATTTCTATTGCAGCAATTTTTTTTTTTACTAATACTACAGAAATTTTCAGTTGGGATTGATCTTCAATAATTATCAGTTTGTACAAAAAAGGCAGAAAAATATATACATGTGTAGTTGATTTCTTAAAGAGAAACTGCATGGCATCACTTTTCATTTTGTCTTCATTTCAACAGACTAGATGCATAATTGAGGATAATCCTTGCTTTCATACTAGGAGCTCAATTTATTAGGGATCAGCAGTGCAACAGCTGCAAATGATGAATCTCAGATCAGAACAAATGGTCAAAATGAATTTTATGTGTTTTCTTACCAATCATTCAAAATTTATTCACATGAATCCCTTTTCTTCAAAAAGTCCCAAAAGAATTTAAAAAAAAAGAAAGCCTAATGCAGCACCACTTCCTGTCAGTTACCAAACTGCATAAGGGCTTTGTAAACCCTAAACCAACTTTGCTGCCAGCAAAAGTTAAACACTGAAACCACCAGCAGCAAATACGAAACGAAAGCCTAGTCATGAGGCACAGAGAAGGCAGGCTCCCTATTAGGAATATAAGGCACATTATTCAACTGCCATGCCACTCCCCATTGGAACAACTTCCAAACCACAAGTATGTGTGCCAGAGGTACAGGCTCAGAGCCCACAGTATCTCATTTAGCCCAAGTTATAATACAGCACAGACAACTCACTAAAACATACAGAAGTGACAATTAACTTTATGCTGATCATTACAGCAATTAAATAACAGTCCTGACATCACATTTGTCCTCATGGTTCAACTACACCTGGTCCCAATTAACATTGTCTCCTAGTGCTGGGCTCCTTACCCCTCTCACTCCCTCATCCCCCAAAGACACAGACACACACTTGCTCTGTGCTTTTAGCCATTCACCGACTCACTGCTCATTCAAACCAGCTGCACCCACCTGCCATTACAGCCAGTTCCTACAGCTAACTTGCACTTGCCCTTGCCCTTACCACCGAGCAGGGCCACTGCATTTCTTTAACCACTACAAAGGACCTAAGCAACACACACAAGTGCTATCTATGGACATCCATATGTAGACAGGAACAAATGCAATCCCTTGTTCAGTAGGTAAAACAGGATCAAGTCTAGCATCCACAACACACCAGTTACTCAGCTGTACCACAGCTCATTGTCAGGACTCATTGATAGGAATACACTGGACATTGGAAGAGGGACCAGTGTTTTTTCTACCCACCCCCCCTCTACCGCAAGGCACAAGAAGATCACACTCAAAGTTATTCAAGTCAAGAATCATTAACTTTCATTTGTTGAATAAGCTCCTTGCAAACACATGTCAACAACCCAAAACCTGACTTACAAAGTCAGTAAGTTTCATTTTAAATTACCAGTGATGGAAAGCTATTGACTTTGCCCTCTTTTTGCCCACCATTTTAAGTTATATTTAGACTACTTTGTGTTAGGAGCAAGGAAATCTAAAGCCGAAATGGATTTGAATCACACTCCAAACTGACTCAATAATCAGGAGACATTAACAGAGAACAAGGCTTCTGCTGATTTCTGTACTTTCTAGTTAGTGTTTGTCAGAATCAGGGTATCCATGAAAATTTATACCAGACCACGCCAACCCTTTCATCCTTCATCATTAACCTCATGCTGCTTTGTATCAGCTACAAACTAAACTGCATCACAGCATCCCATAGCTCTTTTGCATGGGCAACTCCTGCTAAAGCTGGTTTGTGGTTTGCACCCATAAAGACTGTAAAATTTGACTTATTTTTAAATTGACAAAGCCAACAAAAGATATAACTGATTAAGGAAACTAAAGTTTATCCATTACATGCTATATAACAGAAAATACTACTTTCTTCACAAAGGCCAAGAAGCATACATGTGCTACACTGAAGTGTACCCTACATTTTTATATAGTGCCTTTTATGATTACCCTCTCCCCCCCACTTAGAAGAATTAAAACACAAAACAAGAACAACTTGCATACACTATCAACTGAAAACTAGCATTCAACTGCACATGCCCCTTCCTCAAAGACTGGAAGAACAGGACAGAGAGCTAAGGACAGAGAATATATTACTTACTGCTGTAAAAAAAAGATATAGTCATATAATTTAATTTTGACCACATAATTGTACGGATGATACTGGAAGGTTACACTGGATACACAGTAATACCAAATATCATGGTTAATTTTAGGTAACCAACAGATAGCATGGGGTTTGGTGCCCTGGGATAACGAAAGCAAGCTCTTGTCAGGATGTCTAGAAGCACTATTACACTTAAAATATTACTCTGAAAATCAAACCGATCTTACTTGGGTGACCCAAAAGTTGTAAGCTAATCTGCACAATCAGAGTCTACTGCTCAGTTGGAATCACATGTAATAATTACACAGACCTGCTGGTATGTCTTGTGTACTTGTGAACAATTTTACATTATGCTTAAAAGTATATTTTACATTAAAGACAAATCCATTAAAAATACAAGACAAGGAGCAAATCATTCCCAGCTGATCATTTTAGCCACAGATTTGAACTTGATGATCGCTTGAATTATGATTCTTTCACTGAAGATATAATTTAATGTTAAGCCAAGATTCTAATGCAACACTGTATTGAAACAAATTAACTTTCAAGTTCACCTGTATTCACCTACCAAAGTTTGATTTAATTATAATGTATTATTCTCCACCAAAAAGAAACTATGGCCACCACAGTGTAACACCCTGAACTCAATACATCCATACAACAAAGTACTTCCATGAAAGAAAGCCTCAAATTGTTTAAAGGTTACTTATTGGTAAACCCAGCATAAAAAAGCCTACTAGAGACAATAACCAAGCAATAATGAGCTACACCTATGGAGACAGAGTAACTGCAGCACCAATTCTATGTACTTTAATTAAATAAAACTGACATATATAGTAAACTAAGCAAATGATATTACCAACCTCCCACGACACAAAAGCTACGTTTAACTTTTGACAGTTCACCTTCCAGTTCACCTCCAAGGACCATTCTCAGCTACAGGATTAATTCAGGGTCTGAATTTCACAGCTCTGTGAAGCATCTGATCTTAAACTCAAAAACCCTTTAGCACAGTACATGATAAACAGGACAGGGAATGATGGGAACAGCAAGGACAGAAAAATAATAACCAAAGCAAAAACACAAAGCCATCACCTCCCACATGTGCAAGCGTGTATACACATGGATACAAACACACCTTCCTCAGCTCTTAAGAAATGCTGTTGAGAATCCTGCACTTGACTAATATTATTCAGAGAAATATATCCCACTCAAAGAAATATGCCCGTAAGTCTGAGAATTCAGGAAAACCCAGCTTAAAATTATTTCCACAGTTACACTATTATTAATAACATTAAGCAAGCAGAAATGACTGCTTATTGCTTCCAGTAAATAACTGTCAAGCCCTATTACAAAAAAACAAAAAGCAACAGCAGAATTCAAGTGTCTAATACCATAAAGATACAATAATTTTTCCTAGTTCTAGTCTTTTCTAACTGAGAAAAAGAAACAAGAGCCCAATTTGTTACTTGAAATAATGTGAAAGTTGCCATGCTTATCTCCAACAGATTGATATAACAGTATCTCTCAAAACACAACAATATAAAACGCTGTAACAACGTAGTTCTTTTGCTGATTTTCGAATAAGATTGCCTTAGATGAATTCTATTACAGCTTATGCATAAAGGGGGAAAAGGTACTACTATGGAAGTTATACCAGAAGCACAAATTAAGCAGTAAAAACATTAGTATGGCTCAAACAGATTCAGTTAAAGAAAATACTAGGACCAAACACCCAAACACCGTCATGACACATGAATTTTAAATTTCTCACCTGTTCTGCAACATTAATTCCTGAAAATCCTACAGGAAAATCTTAACTCTAATAATGTTACACTACAATCTGCAGTTAACGTTCTGTTTGAGTTTCAGCTTCCCCCGCATCCCCAATAAACAAACTAAAGTTCAAGCTTCCCCCAGATAATTCTCCTCAGACACAATCCTGGTTCATACAGTCCTCCAAACAAATGACAGTGTTCTGCATTAACCAAGAGTATCTTAACAGAAAACACATACGTCTAGTATCATGAAACTGACTAAAAGGAAGATAAAACAGACAAACAATGCAAGGTTTTATTATTAAATTATGTAAAAGTGAAAACATTACCAGGAATGTTGGTACTTACTGTGCCTGGCTCTCTGTCTGCTCCCGCAGTAACCAAGAAATGCACAGACATGCCCGTTCAGACACAGAGGCAAGAACAGAAATAAAAAAGGGGGGAAAAAAAATTAGAACACAAGCCGCAAACAGTTTTAAAATGGCTTTTATTTATATAAGTCATTGCACATTCCTTATACAGTGATTTCCTGAAAATTACAGTATTGTGTAAACATGATTTACAGTTTAACCATACACAAAGCCTAGTTTTATTTCATGACAGAATAAATTATTTTCTTTTCAAAAATTAGTCAAGTGCAATTTTGCCCAATATTTGAGTAATTTAAGTCTATGAAATTAAAGTAACAGATGCAATTATCTAAACTTCTTGTTTGAACACATTCACTTCAAAATTTAACTTCTCATTCCCCCTACCTTCCCACCCACCCATTTAACAACATTACTTTCTCTTAAAAAATTACCCATTATGCAGTTTAACAGTTTTCCACAATATGGTGCAGGCCACTCCTATTACAACTAAGCATTAACCAGGATGCCAAAATGCCCTGCAAACTATGGAGCAGGTGACACCTAGTGATCCCCATTTAAAATACTGAAAAATTCCAAGCTGAATTTTGCTTCAGTAGTATATATGCAGACATTTTTAAGTTTGCCAACAGTTTTTTCTCATTCTATATAACTCAAAATCTTTAGAGATGCACATAATTTGCAGCAATGCGCAAATGTGACAATGTCCTAATCAGGCCTGCCATGCCTCTCACCTCTGTGGTGGTCTGCATCGTGATGCTTCTTGTCATCTTTTATTGCCAAGTGAGACTGCCCACCCAAAGCACTAGAAAGGGCAAGAAGACCAGCACTGCTTCCGAGTGGGGGGATTCCTGGAGGCTGGAGTCCTGATGGATGCGGTGTTAGAGGCACTGGAGGTCCATGGCCATGGGAGAGATGTTGAGCCTGCAACTGCTGCTGCTGTTCCCAGTGGTATCATCATCCCCAGATGAACAACGCACAGCACATAGATTGGGAAGGAGAAGCAAGAAGTTTGGTTAATTACCAGGAATGAACAGTGGATTTTTATCAGTTGTTTGTTTGGTTTAAATTTAATCTCTCCCTTCTGTCCCTGCTATACACATACTGCATTACGTTACACACTCTGCTCGTGTCCCATGAACCAAAAAAGGCTAGCTGCGTACTTGTTCTGCAGCCAAAGGAATAGGTTCAACTACCTGTAGGTTGTTCCAGGCAGCTACTGCCTGCCACAGCCTCATGGGTGACAAACAGCAGCAGCAGAAAGCCCAAATACCATTCCTTTTCTACAGAAAGGAGTACCACTACTCTGGGAAAAAAATAAGTTTCACTGGCAAGACTGATTCAAACTCACATCCCTTTCTTTCCCTAATCTGGAAAAAGTAAGTAGGTTTTTATTTTGAATATTAAAAAACTAAAAGACACTGCTCAATTTCATATTTAGAGTAGTTAAATGTATGTTTTTTTCTAGCCAAACTTTTTTTGGGAAAAAAAAAAAATTTCATGAACTGACACTGTGTTTATGAACCAACTGTAAATTTAAAATCCAGGTATTCCAAATAGCGTCAATAAGGTCATGGAACTCCCAACAAAAAACATGGTACTAATGAATTAAAATACCCCCACCATCTGTTTCAAAAGCAGCTTGCAAGATCAGTATCATAATGGCTAGACATACAACCATGTAACCAATCCGGCAAAATAACCTGTAAGCAATTTTAGAAGCAGTCCTTACAATGAAATGTCTTCCCCACAGTTTAAATATTAAGATATTTTCTAGTTAAAGCTGTTACAGCTTTATTAATATTTTCTAAGTTCAGCTAACCATTTGTCACAAAATGCTCAGCACAGATTTATCTAGAAAATTATGCTTCAAAACAATATTTAGCTTAGCCATAGCTCCACTTTAGTCTGCTACAGGTAAACAGATTTTCTGCCCCTTTCCTCCTCCCTTGTGCCTGATCTTATGAACAGAAGACAGAACAAACCTCTCCACCTTGGCCATGTTCCACCATCCCTCTGATGAAGGTAGGTACCATGAAAAAAGCTACAGTACCACTCAATTTATGGGATCAAAGAGAAGACAGATAAGGAAACGTCTGGACAGGATGAGCTCAGCTAGACATGAGTCTGACCTCGTGAATGCTAGAGGTCCTGTAAGAGCATGAAGAATTTTTACAGTACTGCTGACAGCTACTGAAATCATACCTAAAGCCCACAATATTTCACAAGTTACTACAAAATATAACTCAATCCAAAAAGTATTTTACCTGCTGCCGTAAGTCCCAAGACTCTTCAAGACAAGCTGTCAACAATATCTGCATAACTTCTGCTGGCATATGAATGACTTAATTTATTACTATTTATATAACTACTGTGCCCTGCACTTTAATTTCCAAGACGTGACTTGAGCGGTTTATAAATTTATGTAGACACAAGTGACTGACACTGAAGAACTCTGGACTAGCCCCGGTAATCCTTCACTTTCCTACTATTCCAACCGTAACACAGTCATCATTTACTTATTTTTGATACACAGTACAAATAAGATTTACCACAATCCCTTTAGGCAATTCTATAAACCTGCAAATTTACCCAATCTCTCACACCCAGTATCAGGACTTTCTCTTCATATGCTGCATAAAAAGCCTTGCTAGTCTTCACTGTAATGCATACATCTAATCGCTATTCTCGACAACTTTTCAGTATGCTTAAAAAGCAAGGTAAGAAAGAGATATTTCTTATTCTTCTATTTTAATGTGTTTTACAAACCCAAGAAGTAACATTTTGAAGGAAGTATTAAGAATTATCTTTATGTGAAGTAGACCGCCTTCTACTAAATCAAGCAGCAACTGCTACTGAAACTTCATTTAACTGAAGAAGTATCAGTAAAGAGCACTGTGAAGTCTGAGAGGAATGCAAGGTTTGGGGGTTTTTGTTTGGGGTTTTTTTTCTTCCAGCTTTTAAGGAAGAAGACAACATCTCTCTTCTCACTTTATGAAGTATAGACTTTATGAAGACTGTAGTGGTTTCCAGCATGTTTCCTCAAATCAGGAAATAAGCTGATATTTTCACAGGCTCTCTCAGAGAGACAGTATTTCATTTGGTTTTTTTCTCACTGATGGCCTTAAGCCAGGTCAGTCATCTGCACTTTAGCCATGAGACAACATATATAAGCAGTATTGTACTGCATTCATGGCATCAGTCTTACTGGTCCCCAGATGTACTATCACACTGGATTACCTGGTTGTGGCATTCAATTTTGGCTAAGAAGAAAATGACATTTATCCCTTCCAAATTGGTTTTGCAGAGAAAAACTTCCTCCCTTCTCCAACAGTGACCTCACATTAACTTCTGCAGGGCATGGGAAGGTCAAAACAGGGAAATAAAGTTAAGCTGTTTCCATTCGTGTCCCTACCCCTTCAGGAAGCCTGTGAAGATTGCCTTTATTCATGCCTCTTGCTTGGTTTAATTAGCAAACAAGTTAATCTGCACAATTTCAGGAAGCATAGCTTAAAATCTTCAGAAATCAAACTGTTACGGACATGTTACCTACAATTTCCTTGGCTCTGCTTTGTAGCTTACACACAGGGTATTCTTAAAGACCCATAATTGAGGACCAGGCTAATTCCCTCTAAACAGGTTCTGAATCTGAAAGAACATGTTGAGAAGAGCTGTGTCCTGTTTCTCTGATGGCACTACATACCAATGTTAGGGAGCAATGCCCAGTGTAAGGTGTAGAAAAGAATATGAGAGATGCAAGTGGAAATGCATCACTTTGCATAACATTTTTGCAGCTTTATAAAAAGGTTACTGATGGTAGCAGAGAAAATGATACCCAAAAATGGTTAAATATCCATTACAATAAACAGACTTAGGATTGAAAACCTGATCATGGTCTTTTAAGTCAACAAAGATATATTGTGATTTAACGTTTGTTATCTGAGACTCACTGCTGTTTAAAACTGAAGAATATTGATTGATTGACATATATTACCCACTCATAATAGGTTTAAAGTTCTCCGTAACACATAAACATGGCCTTTTCCAGATGTTCATGAGTTTTTTATTTAAAAAACTTGAATTTTACGTATTCTTTTCCTAGAAGTGGAAAAGGGAGTATGTACTACCCACAAAGGAAGAGGGATAACAGCAGCACTGATCAGATGTATTTAGTAACTAGACATTTGCCATAGTAGATCCTAGAAACAATTATGTTATGCATATAATCACCTTCCCGTCACTTCAAAGACACTAATGCTTACTCTGTCACCTTTTAAGAGCTTAGCAGCAGTGAGATATAAAACAGACTAAGTTGGCAGCAGTATCATGGTCTACTAGGCATGTTCATTAGCAGTTAATTAAAAACTAGACATCTGCCATAAGAAATGTGCTCAGAAAAGGATGAGTAACAGGTCTGTCTTACTACCAATTATTATCATTACTTGCAGAGCAACGGCTGTGTCCACTTTCAGAGGGAAGTGGGAAGGTAGAGGAGAGTGCAATGGTGCATACATAAGTGACTGCACTGAGATAATTAGCCATAGCAGTGATTTTAAAAGCATCAGCAGTTCACCCACCATTTTGTTGCAAAACCAGGAGATCTTCATACTTGCAAAAGCAAATTCAGCTTACTATACTGTCTAGATGTAGGTTTTCTTGCCTTAATTTTTTTTCCCAGCATCCCTCTAATCAGACCACAAAGACCCCAAAAGCAACATATGAAAAACACAGCACTTGCTTTGCTGAGTGAGCATTTCCTAACAATTTTTAAAGCAGTACAGTTTTTTACCTCAGCATCCTAGGTAGTTTCCGGATAAAAAGAGCTCTTTAACAAGGCCTTAAAATTTGCAATTAACTTTCAATCTCTGCCAGAAATCTCTGCCAGAGACAAAATAAATCTTTGTGAAACAAATTTCCTGTACATAAAACAATGGCATACCTCCTTTCGGCTCCTTATCAAGATCAAGCATGAGCTCCTACAATCCCACTTCCCACCTTAAAATAGCTCTGCTGAGGTCACAAACACCTATGACTTACTTAAAAGTCTAGTTTTGAATTCCTAGCACTAAACAGAACATTATTCTATTTTTCAACAGATGTGTGATGTGCTATTCAGTATCTGTTGAAAAGCACCAAATTAAAAATTCAGATGTGACTGTACATGAACAGTGGAAAAAAGGTTATACCTGGTCCCAAAGCACAACAGATGTCTTCTCTTGTGCCTTTCTAAAGAAATCTTTTCATCACTAGCACCAGTAATACTATCAATAGATTCCCCCAAGTTCCATAGAAGTGTTCTGAAAGAATACCTGGCAAGCAAGTCATTTAGAGACCTAAAATTTGAAGGGCATGATTTCATGTCAACTTCTGTAAAACTAAGAAATATGATTTTGTTAAACTCAAATGGGCGGAAAGCCATGAGAGAAGAATATTTATTACTGTGTTCAATTTCATTGTCATATCATCTCTTTCCCAAAGGGAAATCAGAGGTTTTTATTTTCTTACTTAAGTAGCAGAAGGAAGTGAAAGCCTGTATAAAGTATCTATGACCAATGAACATATGAGGGCTAGTGTCTGATCACATACGAGCTAGCCAGCAAAGCAATAACCTTCTCCCTCACTGGTTAGAAATACTTACAGAACCAACATTGCAAATGTAATCTTCCAAAAAAGGAAAAAACTCAAGATTATGGTCCTGTTGGATCCAGTCTTCTTCCTCATTCTAAAATAACCTGAAACCCTGCACACACCATCCACACTAACAACATGCAAAACTAGCAGGAGTAAACTCATTTAGACAGTTTAAGCCATTAATTAAAACTCGCATTTAAGTTTCTGTAGGTATGTATTTTCGACAGTATTTCAGTTACCTGCAAGAACATGCTGCGGGATGACAACCAATCACCCTGAAGTATACATCCACATTCTTCTACAATGGC